GCAGTTGTGGGGACGAGGGGCACGGTGACAGCGGAGGAACAGGGTAACCGGGGATACATACCAACAGGCGCGGGGACGAGGGGCACGGTGACAGCGGAGGAACAGGGTAACCGGGGATACATACCAACAGGCGCGGGGACGAGGGGCACGGTGACAGCGGGGGAACAGGGTAACCGGGGCTACATACCAACAGGCGCAGTGACAGCGGGGGAACAGGGTAACCGGGGCTACATACCAACAGGTTACAGGAACACACTGTATAAAACTGCATCTGCACACATACACACACACACACACTCACACAGGAAGGAATTTATTGGGAATTACCTCATACTGGAAAGAACGGTCGTGCCCATACCCCTGCCTGATATTCAGAGCCAACATCCACCCCAGTCACCCTTGGCGCGCCATCGTCACAGAGCAGGAATCTCGGCAGCGAACGGGACGCAGGCCGATGCAGCCCCCTAGAAGATGCAGGACTTCAGGTTGTGCCAGCAGACGACATAGCCCTTGGCGTAGGGGAAATGAGGAGCGCGCAGACAGGAAGCCAGTGTGACACAGCAACGCACAGCAGCCCAGCCCGACCTTCACACACCAAACACCACAAACACGGGCATCTCAAAACACCTCGATGCTGGGAAAAGGCTTTTTTTTCTTCTTTTCTTTAAGAGAAGTGTTTCCCAATCCTGTCCTTGAGGACCCGCAGACAGTCATGTTTCTGCAGGAGGGAGCACAAAACGTGCACCGGCTGTAGTCCCCGAGGACTGGATTGGCAAACAGTGTTTTAGAATAAAAGCTTACTTCTGGGATGTCGCATCAGACAGGAAACAATATTTATCATTTTCTTTTTTTCCCCCCCCACTGGGGTTTCCATCTGCTTAGTCTGCTTTCGATGTAGTTCCAGTATCCTGCCAACAGGGTGCAGCAGAAAAGCAGACTGTGTGCTGTAACAGCGCAGATACGCAGCTGTCGGAGTAAGGAGCATATCTGATCGATTCTGTCAAGAGGAGAGATCCAGAGGTGATGTCAGCATGACAACACTCTTCTGTGACAGACACACACACAGACACACCCCAGGAGAGCAATCAGTAACAGAGCACATACAGAGCTTCTGTTTTTTGTTTTTAATTTTAATATAAAACAAAAAAATGGAAAATAAAAACATGAAAGGATCCAGTAGTGATGATGATGACAGAAGCGTTGGATGGAGCCGCTCTCTCCTTGTTTTGGGTGTGGTGGGTCTGCGTGGGCAGTGCATGCATGTGTGTTCCAGGATAAATGTGTGACAGCCCGGGTGGGACTCCGGCACGGGGGGGGGG